CCATATTTTCATTTTGCTCTGGGCCCTGCAAATTAAATAGTTGGTTTTAGCTGTGGGAATGGCATTTCTGGAACTACCCATTTTTCCTTTAGTCCCTCGAAGCCCATACTCCTTAACCTACCTGTCTAGCTCTCTCTCATGGCGTGGTTTTGTCAGATGTCACTAATTGAAGTTCCTCCAAGTATGCCAAGCAGCCCCATGCCTCTGCAACGTTGGGTCCTGGTGTTTCCTTCTCCCCATTTTCCCTCCCCGACCTCATTCATTGCTATTCATAGTTTGAAAGGCTGAGGAAATAAGACTGAGCTATGAAACCCTACATGGCCATCTCACCTAGTTAATACTGATCACACTTTGTCTATATTTCCCTTGAAAAAGTTGATACCTGGCAAAGTTGAGCTATCTATGATCTTGGGGAAATGGTTCTGTAATAACTGTATAGGAAGATCAGGTTGATTTTTGCCAGGGGAAAAGAATTCTCTGTAATCTTCAGTGTATTCATTCATTCATGCAACAAAATATTATGGAGTTATCTATACATGCCAGATTATATTCTAAGCACTGAGGATATGGCAGTGAGGAAAGTAGTATTATTTTTTCAGTGAACTAATAGCAATATTCTAGTGGGGAAGGACAGAAAGTGAATTCACAAATACATCAATATACAATACGTAAAGTCTGTAGTTCTAGAAAATAATGCACAGTAGGATAAGAGAATAGAGGGTGATAGGGGTGTGTGTTTGTGCTTGTGCTGTTTAGATAGGGTGGGAAGCCCTTTTTTTTTTTTTTTTTTTTTTTTGCTGTACGCAGGCCTCTGACTGTTGTGGCCTCTCCCTTTGCAGACCACAGGCTCCGGAGGCGCAGGCTCAGCGGCCATGGCTCATGGGCCCAGCCGCTCTGCGGCATGTGGGATCTTCCCGGACCGGGGCACGAACCCGTGTCCCCTGCATTGGCAGGCGGACTCTCAACCCCTGTGCCACCAGGGAAACCCCGAGAAGCCCATTCTGAGGTGATACTTAATCAGAGATCTGGATGCAATGAGGGCTTGACCCATGTGAAATTCTGGAGGGCAGAGTATTCCCGGCAGAGGAAAGAACAAATGCAAAGGTCCTGGCGAGGGCACATGCTTATGATCTTCAGGAAAGTGCAAGGAGGCTGTTATGTCTGGAATAGGTTGGGCAATGAGGAGAGAAGTAGGAGATGGGGTCAGAGAACTAGGGCCTAATCACACAGGGCCTTGGAGACCAAGGTGAGGACTTGGCTTATACGTCCAATGAGATGGGAAGTCATTGGAGGGTTATGATGGGCTTGCATTTTAAAAGGATCACTCTAGCTGCTGTACTTATTGCAAAGGAGCCATCTCGCATGCTACTGAGAAGTCAGGTAAGCTAAGAATTGAGAATTGGCTGTTTAGGTAATCTATTATTTATTCTTTTGGTTGACTGATATGTGGAAGACCCCAGAAGCAATCTTCTGATTTTGTAGATGGTCAACGATTTTGGTATGGGTAAAGGACCCACTTTGATCTTAGCTATGAGATGGTTTATCAGTCTGTTGATTCTTTGACCAATTGTCTCCTCTTCACTATATAAAGATTTCTAAATAAGGTTTTGGAGTGTATCTAGCTGCTTTCTTCCTTTGGCTCAGCTTTCTGATAAGCCATGTGCTCCTGTTAACTACCAGGGTGGTCCAGGGCCATCGCTGCACTTTTCTGTCCTCACAAGGACATAGCCTGTTCTGCAACATCCCCACAGCTTACTCAAATTTGTTGACCAATAGTTACTGTTGCACTATTATGTTTTGATCAATTGTCTTGGATATGAGAGACACCTGTGGAAGTAGAATTTCAAAATCTTCATGTTCAGTTAGATATAAAAGAATGGGAAAAATCAAGAAAATCAAGACAACTGTGCTTAACCTTAGGTGACATCCCCTTATTCATGGGGAATAGGTTCCAAGGCCCCCAGTTGATGCCTGAAACTACAGAGAGTACTGAACCCTATATATATATATATATATATATATATATATATATGTTTTTTCTCTATACATACATACCTAGGATAAAGTAATTTTGATAAAGTAATTTTATGGTAAAATTTATAAATTAGGTAAAGTAAGAGATTAACAACAATAATTAATAAAATAGAACAATTATAACAATATACTGTACTAAAAGTTAAGTGAATGTGGTCTCAGAGTATCTTATTGTACAAATTTAATGCATTTTTCATCTTAACTAAGCCCTTATCATGCACTGTGTTCATAACTTTCGCAGTTTGAGGTTCAGCAGCAAAACTGGCATGAATTTCTTTTTCCTTCTTTGCAATTTCACAGATAGATTTGTTCTTACCATATACCTTAGCAGCCTCAGCATACAATGTTTTTCCTTCCTCCTTAAGTTGAACTTTTACCTTTTCACTTAAAAGAAGCACTTTACAGCTTCTCTTTAGCACATCCAAATGGCCAGCATCACTACTCTTGCACTTTGTGTCATTATTATGTAAAATATGGTCACTTGAAGGTACTGAGACCATTGATCTGATAACCAAGACGGCTACTAAGTGACTAACTGGTGGGATACTCTGGATCAAGGGATGATTCACATCCCAGGCTGGACGGAGTTGGACGGCAAGAGATTTCATCATGCTGCTCAGAACGGCACCCGATTTAAAACTTACGAGTTGCTTATTTCTGGAATTTTCCATTTAATATTTTCAGACCGTGGTTGACCTTGGGTAACTGAATCCAAGAAAACTGCGGATAATGGGGGACTCCATTACTGAGGAGGCAGGAAACATTAGGCCAAGAGCAGAGTGGGAGGGGAATGTTGAGCTTGGACAGGATACGTGTCAGAGGTGTCAGTGGAAGCCATTTAGGAGGGTCAGGAGATAATCAGAGGCCTTAGACTTATCATTTTGATACTGTTCTCCATTAAATTACTGAATTCAGATATATCCTAATACCATAAATCCTCCATCTGAAGGGACCTAAAACATGAATTTAAGCCCAATCCCCAATCCAGTTTTCAAAATCTCTCTATAATATCCCTTCCTGGGCAGTCTCCATTCAAACATTTCCTTAGGCAACTTTTCCTGTCCATTTATAATTCGTACTACTAGTCCTAATTCTAAGCCCTGAGGATTAAATAAATTAATGCCTTTTCCATGTGCCAAGTATCAGGTTATGGGTAAATTGTTGTCATGTCCTTCTCTGGTTCTTCTCTTTTCCAAACAACACAATTCCTACTCATTACTGTTTCCTCATGGGATATTTGGAGCCAGTTCACGTCTTGGTCTCTCACCTTGGAAGATGTGTATTTATTGTTTATATGTACCTTAAAGTTTGGTGGATGGGACTAAAAACAGGGCTCTGGGGCTGGCCTGACCATTGCAGAGTAAACACCAAGCTTGTCAGTTACTCTGAACGTTCTGTCTGACAGTGATTTTTCAGATATAAAACATATATACCTTACAGGTATTACCGAAGAGAACTGAAAGCATGCATTCACACAAAAACTTGTACACTGCAGCATTATTCAAAATATCCAAAGAGTGAAAAAGAATATGATATGTCCATACAATGGAATCATAATATTCAGCCATGAAAATGAATGAAGCACTGTAGGTGGTACAACATGGATGCATCTTGAAAACATTATGCTAAGTGAAGGAACCAGACACAAAAAACCACATAGTGTGCTTCCATTTATGTGAAATGTGCAGAGTAGGCAAATCTATAGACAAAAAGTCGATTAGTAGAAGCCAGGGCCTAGAGGGAGGAGGAAATGGGGAGTGACTGCTAATAGGTACAAGGTTTCTTTCTGGGGTCATATATATGTTCTGAAATTAGGTAGTGGTGATGGTTACACAACACTGAGGAAGCATTAAAAAACCACTGAATTGTACACTTTAAGATGGTGAATGTTGTGGTGTGTGAATTATATCTCAGTAAAGCTGTCATTAAAAAATATGGGTGTTACCTCCTGTCTAAAGTTGAGGATCTTAGGAATCAATGAAATAACACGTATAAGTGCCTGGGATGATATGTACTCTCAGTTAAGACTGTTATTGTTGCACTTAAGGAAAGTAATACTGCTTAGAGGTCAGTAGCTGCAACTTTTAGTCGCTGTTACATTTGTCGAATATTACCTGTTAAATCGTATGCAGTCAACAAATCCTTGTTGAATGTGTTTTGTTCACATTCATGTTTAGCCACATATATGTTCTGTTTCTTGCATGTTACCGAATCCACATCATTGGGCCTAATTTTGAGATCCTTGTCCAGTGATGGGAACTCTTCACAGCCCACGTTTCAGTGTTGAAGTCAGAGTTGGGAGTATAGGCTCAGTCTGGGGAAGGAAGGTCTCTGCCTTAAATTCTAGGTGAAGGTGGAGGCTAAATGGTTCTTGAGCTTTTTTACCTAGTAATATAATTCTGCTATATGTTTTTATAAGAACTTAATTGGCCTGTCAAGAATGTTTCTTCATGGTTCATTATCAGATCCCTGGAGAGCAGAGGACTTCATCTTGGTTAAAAAAAGAAATTCAGTTCCTAGAAATTTAGCAGATTTAAACTGCTAAGTTGTTCTCCTGAACCCGACTTACAATTTCCACATATAAGAAATTGTTATTTTAAATTATGATATGAGCATTTTTTTTCTTTGAAAAAAATTTTAAAATTCACATCTTTTTATGAACTTGGCATTCCACTAATAACACTGCGTTGCTTCTGCAGCTGCGTCAGCAAGGTGCCATCTGCTTATCCTGAGGCTCATGAAAAGAAATAAACCGGTTGATGTTTGTGTCATCCAGCATTCTTTCTAGAAGAGCAGTGGAAAATTTTTCCTTTGGTCTCTAAGGAGTGGTTGTGCCTCTCAGCTTCCCCGTGCTGTCAGGGAGGAATGAGAAAGAAGGCAAAACTGTCAGAAAAGAGTTTGTAAGTTTTTTTTTTTTTTTTTTTTTAGCTTCTTTTTTGAGAGTGTCTTTTTCCTGTCTTTAATAGAAGTTGGTGATATGGCAAAGCAGTACATAGAGAAAAGTCTTTTGGTTCCAGATCACGTGATCACACGCCTCATGCTGTCAGAGCTGGAGAACAGGCGCGGCCAGCACTGGCTACTGGATGGTGAGTTGAACGTGTGGGTCCGCTGGACCTCTGCCAATAGTGGGTCATTGTCTCCTTGCACACTCCCGTATTTCTTACAGGTTGCAAAATGCCCTTTTCCCCTAAATGTTCAGTCATCTATTTAGACATATTCCAGTTTGGCAACGTGATAGAAACCTCACGTGGTGAAACCTTTTAATTCCTCTGTCTGCAGACCACCATCCCTAGAGCCGTCAGCTTGAAGCAAACCTTCACTGAATTCCTGTTATTGTTCCAGTTCTGATCGTGCCTTTGTTTCCATGACTCAGTTGTCATAAGTATGACTCATCTTAAATCAGAGGTTCTTTCATTCAAAATAGGCCACATAAATTAAAAGCATTAGTTATCATTTTTTACCTGTCAGATTAAAAAAGATAGAAAATCTGAAAACCGTAAGAGTATAGGAAGTAAGTATTCTTGAGAGGATAAAATGGGCAACCTTTGGAGGGCAGTTTAGCAGTCTTTACATTTTTTGATTCAGCAATTCCCTGCTTGATTTCTTGCCTAAAGATGTATGTTAAAGGATGTTTGTTTTCAGTGTTATTTGTAAATAGCAAGACACTGGTAACAACCTATCTATCTATCATAGGGTTGCCTTAAATTTTGGTATGTCCATTAACCAAGTAATCTGTACCTCTGTGTTGATATGGATAGGGCTCTAAGGTAAACTGCCAAGTGAAAAAAGCTAGTTGCAGTATAGTTAATATCATATACTATTATCTCCATAAAAATGGAGTGACAGTATAATATTACTATATATACTTACAAACACATACATAAGCTGTCTTTGGAAGGATAAAAAAAACTGACACTAGTGGTTGGCTCTGGGTAAGGATTAGGGTTGGGAGAGAGATTTACCTTTCACTGTATATACCCATTCCTATTGTTTGATTTTTAATATTTAAATGATACATAGGCCTGATTTTTTAAAAAAAACTCAGACAAATATCATGTGATACCACTTATATGTGGGACTAAAAAAATGAAACAAAATCAACTTACTTACAAAACAGAAATAGACCCACAGACATAGAAAACAAACTTATGGTTACCAAAGGGGATAGCAGTGGGGAGGAGATAAATTAGGAGTTTGGGATTAACATATACACACTACTATATGTAAAATATGTAAACAACATGGACCTACTGTATAGCACAGGGAACTATATTCAATATCTTGTATTAACCTATAATGGAAAAGAATATGAAAAAGTATATGTATTCAGTTACACATATAACTGAATCACTTTGCTGTATACTTGAAACTAACACAACATTGTAAATTAACTATACTTCAATTTTATAAAAATGGTTAAAAAAAAACGCAGTCACTCCTATGATACTTAACCCAGGAAGATGCATACAGATGCTCACACACACAATACTGCACAGTTTTGTACTTGAGGAAGCTGGAATTAAGAATCATCTACTTTTAAGTTTTACCAGTATAAATCTTTTCATTTATTAAAGGGAAAAAATGGACTAGATGGATTATTTGTCTTACTCTTTAATAGCAGGATTCCTTGGCAATGAAAATAAGAACTTGATGAATATACTGCTTTCTAGATACGGAAAGGGTAGTGAGATTTATATATAAGAAACTTCTTTCCATTGCAGAGTAGTTTTCCTTCAGTTCACACAATGCACTTTTTCCTATTTCAGCAAGTTGCGACAGCTGAAACTTTGATGTTTGCCAGCCACAGAGAAGCCAGAGTGAATTGTCCTACATTTTAACTATCAGATTGCCTATATTTCTCCTAAAGTCTGGAGCCGTAAATCTCCATAATGACCAACTTGTGGTAGAGTATTTATTCTATATTGGTGTTTCTCAAAGTGTATAGTGTGCAGTGTTAGTAATGGCTAGACAAAAAAAACAGACTTTGTAGTTAAATGTGTTTAGAAAATGTCAATTTAGGGCTTCCCTGGTGGCGCAGTGGTTGAGAGTCCGCCTGCCAATGCAGGGGACATGGGTTCATGCCCTGGTCCGGGAAGATCCCACATGCTGTGGAGTGGCTAGGCCTGTGAGCCATGGCCGCTGAGCCTGCGCATCCGGAGCCTGTTCTCCGCAACAGGAGAGGCCACAACAGTGAGAGGCCCGCGTACCGCCAAAAAAAAAAAAAAGAAAAAGAAAATGTCAATTTAAATGTTAAATGTTGCTTGAATTTACTGACTGAGCACTTACTGTATGCCAAGTATTGTTCTGAACATTTGATATTTATTATCTCATTCAATTCCTACAATAACCATATCAAGGTAGAGACTGTTATTTCCATTTACTGATGAGAAAACAGAAGCAAAGGAAGGTTCACTTGCCTATCCAAAGTTAGTAAGTCCAAAGTTAACCAATTTCTTAGGACTTTAATGAACCTTTAATATGATAATGTGATTTAACTTCATAGAAGGAAATGTCATGAGGCGTTCTGAATGTATTTGACCATAGAATCTCCTACCCTACCTATAACCTCGGGGATTTGTTCTATGGTCCATTCTTTGTGAACTCTACTATTCAACATTTATTCTTCACTTTGGAGGTGTTCTGAAGAGTTGACTATAGAGCAGATCATATCTTTCTAGAATGCCTTCCATTTAAAAAAATCAGGACCTATGTTCTCATGGGGCTGGAGGGAACCAAGAGACTGAACTGAAAACTTTTGTCAATAGAAAGGCTATAATGGCCCATGGAAGGCATGTGTTTATCAGGCAGTAATGAATAAAGCTCCTACTGTGTGTCGGGCACTATCAGGTGCTGTTGATAAAATGACAAGACACTTTCTGTATTCTTACGGGACTTATATTACAGTAGGGGAGTCAGGTGTGTAAAAAGTTGACAGTATAATAAAATCATATACATGTGGTACACTGAAGACCCAAAGGAGAAAATTGTCGGTTCTATTGGTGGGAGGCAGGAGTGGAACAACTTTATGGAAAAAGAGATGAATAGAGAGATGTTCTGCAGGTTGACTAATGGGGGTTGGGAAGAAGGATTTTTTCAGCAGAGGCGCAATGTGAACTGGGTAAGAGAGGAATGACTTAGCCTAGTGTTTTCCTGGGCCTGCAAACAGAGAGGCAGGGGAAATCCTGGGGTGATGGACTTTGATTCTATGCAGAGATGGTGGAACTGGAAATTTTTGGCTGTAGGGACCACCGAAGAGTTAAAAAGGGGAATAACATAATCGGATGTATTTGTGTTTCAGAAAGACTGTTCTGTTAGCAGCAGAGCTATTAGATGCTGGGGTAGGGGAGGAGGTGGTGACTAGAAGCTGAGGAAGAGATTGTTAGCACAATTGGACCAAGAGATGTTGAAGGCCTGAATTTGAGCATCAGCAGTGAGATGCGAGGAGGCACTATTCCTGAAAGACTGCATTGAGGAGGAGGAATTGACAGGAGTGTGACTGATGTTAGGCACTGTAGCCCTGGGGTTTTCTTTGATCGCCTTCCCAGCTTTTGGAGTTTCTTGGCTGTCGTCACCTTCCCTACACTTCTCCAACTATGTTAATTTCTCCAGACTCTGAATATTTAACTCAAAAAAGTTAGTCTCCCTCTACTTCTTCTTATGGGGGTGTTTGCCGGGACTGATAAACTTTAGCCCTGCCACCACCTAACAGTAATTTCTCTAGATTAAATTCTTTAATTGTAAGGCTTCTCACCTTATGAAATAAACTTGTGTAGTTTTAAGTAACCTTAACTGTTTTAAAAAAGGATCATCTATGTTAAACTCCTTTGGGAAGGTGGTTAGTATAATAACCACTGATCCCAGTTAGAACCAGACTACCCGCTTTGAATCCCAGCTCTGCCATTGTCAGTGCCCTTGGGCACGTTACCCGTAGGTCTCTGCATCTTTTTCCTCATGGAAAACAGAGATTACAGAAAGGGTGAAGTAAGTGAATGTACGGAAAGCACTTATATTTGCCATATAGTAAGTGCTGTATGAGATTTTGTGATTTGTTGTACATAAGGTACAGGTCATGAATTTTTGTTTTTAGGTTACTACATGAAGTGTTAAGTTCAAAAATAGTTTAAAAAATATTCAGCCACGTGAAGTTGGAAAAGTCAGCTTCAGTTGTGAAATGTTTTATGTATCTTTTCACTGCTTTGTTTTGCTATAACTTCCTCTCGGTGAGTAACTGAAGTTCTTTTACCTCATAGGCCTGTTTTTAGTAAAGGACGTCAGTCTCCTAACTGATTTAGTTTGTATCTTTCTAAACACATCTGGTCACGGTTTCGGTTGTGATTTTTCTTTAAAGCTCTGGAATAAATCCACTTGGCAAAGTGAGGACCATCAAGAATGCTAAGTTCTGTGTTCAGTTTGAAACTCCTTATGTTCAAGGGCACGTGTTCTGCGGAGGACGTGCCTATGGAGTGTGTGCTAAAGGTGATTGCATGTGGAAAGGTCAAGAAAAGAATTCTGGATGACAGATGACTCATCATCTTGGTCCATATGGCTGTAAACAGGCATCCTGCAAATGGTGGGTGGAAATACGTACCATGGATGCAAACCAAGGGAACGCCAGGGGTGGCAGTGGATGGGCTTGGTGAGTGCTCTGTGGTTTGGTCAGCTACGTCCTTGCTAAAAACAGTTCAGCACCACCTTGCCTTCACAGTGTGCTTTTCAGTTGGATAAGAAACACTCTTTTATGTGTTAATATGTGTATATAAGTGTGGTTTTCCCCCTCTTTTTTTCTTTTTCTTTCTTTAATTTCTTTGGACGTTTAATGTGTGAGGGCGGTTTTCTGAAAATAATTTTAATTTTTAAGACAAATATTCAACCAGAGGAATGTCATGCACAAGCCTTCTAATTTTGCTATGATGGTTTTGTTTGTTTTTTCTTTTTTAAAGAGGGTGTTTACTGCTTACTAGGTGATCTTAAGGTGAAGTAACTAGGGAACTATAACCAGCTCTTATAAACAACCAGCTCAAATACAAATTCTTCACTTTTTAAAAAGCAGCTGGCAGTGAGATGGGGCCCATAGGGAGGTGTGTTA